AATGCCATGCGTAAATATGAGTATGTAAGTTTTATAGTTTTGGACTAAATCATTCTACAACTAAGCATGTAACTATTTGAAAAGCTTTTGAATGAGTACAAAAGGTACATTTGTATGTATGTGTAGGGGTTTATGTAGATATGTATTGTGGATTTGCAAACTGTGAGTACCATAAAATTATCTTACCAAAGATCCAAAATTATGCATGAAAAGGCAGAGAGAACACGCAAAGGCCGACCAAAAAGCGTGCAAATGCTGAATAACAGTAGATACATAAGTACAAGTAATTGAAATATTAGTTATATATATATGTACACATATAATTATGTACATATGTATGTACTTCAAATTAAAAGTAATTTGTAGTGGTAAGGCTATGGCAACTCTAGCAAAGTGACTAAAAACTGAGCACGCGGTGAGGGGAAAAAGTGGGCTGTGTAAATAAGAGTGCGATAAAATGAACATTATGAAGATATATGTATGCATTTATGTATACATATGTACATACGCTTAGCCCAGAAATGTACAAGTTTATATGTATGCACATTAGACCACGCTAAAAAAAAATAAAATAAAAATCCTGCAATGCGACCGGAATAAGACTAAAATTTAGCATTTGATCCTCCAAGAATCTGAACTCTCTAGGAACATTGTTAGAGGTGCCGCCGCGGGCGTTTAGTTTTCCCATAGGAACTACAAGTAAGAAAATGGGTTTTTTTTTTTGAGGTCAATATAATCTCTCGGCAGGCAATGGCAAACTTCCGAGTGTATTTCTGCCATGAAAAAACAGCTTCTCATAAAAATACAATCGCCGTTCGGAGTCGGCGTAAAACTGTAGGTCCCTCCGCTTTGTGTGACAACATCAAGGCGCACACCACAAATCGGAGGAGAAGCTCGGCCAAACACTAACATATGTGTAAGCGCCAATCTATTATTATTATTAATATAATTTTCTATGATCAATGAACATGCTCGAAACTGTAAGAATACATTGATTACATGCCATTTGAGTATTGTGCATGCTCAGATTCTTTAAATTCAAAAAAAAAATTTGGTATATACTAGATTTGACCCAAATAGGACAAGGGAATAAAAAAGGATAATTTTAGAATTTAAATAATCTGAGCCTGCAAATACTTAAATGTCATGTAATCAATGTATTCTTACAGTTTCGAGTGTTTTCATTGATCCTAGAAAATTATATTGACCTCAAAAGGAAGAAACTCATTTTCTTACGTGGCGGCGGCACCTCTTACAATTGTCCTAGAGAGGTGAGATTCTTGTGGAGTATCATTACTATACTAAATGCTAACATTTGTGTCTCAT